TTAAAAATAAAAAAAAAAAAAAAAGAAAGAAAGAAAAAAGAAAAGAAAAAAAATGCAGGGCACCTAAGTGGGCCAGTTGGTTAAGCATCCAACTTTGGCTCAGGGCATGATCTTAGGGTTCGTGAGTTCGAGCCTGACAGCTTGGAGTCTGGAGCCTGCTTTGGATTCTGTGTCTCCCTCTCTCTACCCCCTCCCCCACTAATGCACACATTCGCTTGCTCTCTCTCTCAAAAAAGAAACCTTAAAAAAATTTTTAATATGTTCCTTAAAAAAAATTTTAATATGTTATCACACATATACATAAAATCTAAAATAACCAAACTCATGGGGTAGATTGTGGGTGAAGGTGATCAAAGGGTATAAACTTCCAGTTATAAGATGAATAAGTTCTGAGGATGTAACTATAGTTAACAATGCTGTTACTAAGAGAGATCTTAAAAGTTCTCAACATACATATTACAACTATGTGAAGTAACAGATGTGTTAACTAAGCTTACTGTAGTAATCATTTGCAATATATACATACACCAAAGCATCACATTATACATCTTAAACTTACATGATATTATACGTCAATTGTATCTCAAAAAAGCTGGGGGAAAAGGCTGATGCCTTGGGTAAGACCCAGAGATTCTGATTTGATTGGTCTGGAGTGGGGCCCGGGCATCATTAGTTTTAAATGTTCCCAAGTGATTCTAACATGTAGTCAGGTTGAAAACTGCATGGATTTTACTTGCCTTGATTGCATTTACTAAGCTGAAAATAGGCAGTTTTCACCTGACTGCTACATCTCAGTGTTTTGTTACCAGTGTATTTAATGAGTCTTCAAAATAGCTATCAAAAGACAGTAAGATTAAAAGAGGCTTAAAATGGGAAAAGTGGGGCTTTTACCCACTTCATATGCAATCCAAGAAAAAAGTTACAGGATTGCTTATGTGGGTTTGGGGTCTTCTCCCATGAATTCCAACCGCTTAAATCAATATAAAAAAAATCCCAAGTAATCCAATCCCCCATAGGCTAAGAACCCTCACAAATGAATAAGAAAAACAAATGTAGCAGGAGGAAAATGTGCAAAGAATGGGTATAGGGTGTCTGCCGAAATAACAAATGGCCAAACATAATTTTCCAGCTTCACTAGTCAGCACAGAAATGCAAATTAACACTAAGATACAATTCTTCCATAAAATCAGCAAGACTTTAAAAATGTAAGTATTTAATAGAAAGAATATAATGCAACAAATACACAAACTCCTGGATGCAACAAACTTAACATATTATTTTAAAAAGCAGCTTGGCAATATGTGTCATGAGCCTTTAAGTATTCATACCCTTTCCTTATAATAGCAAAACCCATAAACAGCCCAAAGGACCAACACTGGGGAATTTATTTTACGGTTAGCTAAATAATTCAAAATCCATACATTCTAGGGGGAATATTATGTTTTGTTAAAAAGTTCAAAACCCCACTGAGAAAGGAAGATGGATGTATACATATTATAGAAGGCAACATACTCAAATGTTAACAAAAGCAGAATTGTGAGTGATTTTAATCTATTTCACATTTTTCTATTTTCAAAATTTTCTACAAAGCATTTACTACTTAAAAAAAATTATTTTTCATTTCCAAGCAAGAGTTAACTGATTAAGCATTAAGTCTTTACCTCAGAAAAACCGTGAGGTAAGATGATAGCTTATCATGATGCATTTCAGTGCATAAATGTGTACAGTGAGTAAGAGGTGCTGAGATCCTGGATTCAGTGGAGCTGAGCCTGGCCACACGGACTGAAAATGCAAGTGATTTAGCCAGCTGTCCTCAACAGCTTCCCTCTCCCCTCACATTCTCCAAAATAGATCAATTAGATTTTCTAAATGCAAACCTGCCAAGACAACTGACCCTTACCTACAAACGTGGATACTATTTTGGTACCTCAGTCTGAAAAGGCATTTATAGGATAGCCACCCTGAGGTTTATTCTATGCTAAATATTTATCAAAAATAACAGTTACTGGAAAAACTTTTCCTTGTTGTCCACGTACACTGATAGACATTAAGTTAGTCTGTTCAGAGAACTAATTTCTTGAACTTAATGAAGTCTGATGTCCATTATTCATATTCACTAAAATCAAAATTCCCTGCAAGAGCAGACTTTACAGAACTAGTCTCAACTTAGAGTGATTTTACAGAGAAGTAACATTCTGTCCCACCCCTCCATCACTAGAAGAAATAATACTCTCACCGTAAAACTGCAAAGAGTGACTAAGAGTACAGAAAGGTCATCTATAAAGATAAATGAGACATTTGATTAAAAGCCTCAAATACTCAAGTCCATCACAAAGTATTTTCACATTATCATTCCCTACAAATACTCTTCTTTTGCTCATCTCTAAGTTTCCCAAATGCAAGAACTGCCAGAATAATCTTGATAATGTATCTCCAAACGATTCTTAAAACAGCAATAGGTTCTCAAAGACTTCAAGGAGAGAAGGACTTAGTGTGGATGCTACGCTATCAGTTCACTGTTAACTAAAAATGAAAAATCTTCATAAATCTGTTTCCAGATACCAACTCAATTACTAAGCACGATCGGACACTGTACAAGTCTGCATTGTTATCTTCACTCTTTAAAAGAAAATCTATTAATTGTGAATTACTTCGCATAAGAGAACATTTATGCTGCTGAGGAAGCTTATAAATGAAGTATTTCTGAATTACTAAATCAGTTGTACCTTGATGAGAAAGTATAACAAGAATCTCAGTTTCTACCTGTCCTTTTGATTTTCATTCTGTGTAAACAGCTTGATTTAAATTTCAAAATCCAAGAGATTCCATCAGGCACATCTAGTTTAAGTTCACCTGAATGTCCATGTTGCTGCCCTCAAGTCAGTTCATAATTTATCCTATCTTTACAATTTATACAACTTTCAACAACTGCCCTAGCTATACACTTGAGTATATCCCCTTCCCCAAGTAATAATGGGACTCAGGAAACTGAGGGATACATTACTATTACATTACAAATGAACAACGTCACAATTTTTTAGGGGTAGCAATATAGATAGTTTAAATGAACTTCCTAATATTTAAACTTAGGCTGTTCCCTCTTTTGCTGCTTTGCATACCCGCTTGTATGAACAGTACCCCCTGAAACTGTGCAGTGTGCACAGTCTAGGCAGTCATATGCATGGCCCAGCACCTTACCTACCACTTGATTCTCCATGATTACCTTAGAAAATTCTACAAACTTTCAAAAGTCACAAACTTACTAAGTGGTGTGAGAAAAAAAAAAATCATAGATTCAGATAATTCGGTGTTTTGGTTTGCATACATTTCAGAATAGACAAGAAACAGGTGTTTTAAAGTTTTACACACTGGTGAAAGTCAATTACCAAGGAAGTTTGGATAATATACACAAAGCACAACCAATCTATGTAAGCCAAATAGCAGAGTGCCCACGAAGACATTTCTCGTGTCACTTCTATAATTGGATCTATTTTCAAAGAGAATTTTGTTCACCTGCCTTCTTTTCCCTTTCCATAAGGAGGTAAAATATTAAGGTGGTTACCTAAAAATCTGTTCAGTGAGTGAAATTAAGCACTGTATCGAAGATTCATCATTATCTTGATTAATGGATTAGAACACAGGACATAAGAATGCATAAATAAACAATTTTACAGGTGTTAATCAAGCTTTCTTAAACATATTACCTGATGTAAAACTGAAATATACCTAGAACCTGCCAGAAAACAACCCCAAAATCTGCTTCTTTCATGCTTTCAACTAATGAACTTCAATTAAATCCCCTCCCCAGCAATTTTAACACAAGGAACTACCAAAGAATTCAATAGATATTAAAACAGTAAGCATTTCTAATTGTTAAAAACTCATATTTAATGTACTATATGGATGAGATTTATTATAAGATGAACACCTATAAAATCATTCTTGTTACTGAGTTTATAGAAGTTTGGTTGGCTACATGTTTAATTAACCAATATGATTTTTTGTGAAATATTCTTTGTATATCAGCAATATGCTGTCTTCAAGTGTAGAAACAAACATTTCAGAAAACTAGGAGGAAAAAACAATCACCCATAAAATTTTAAAAAACAAAACTTCCCCCTCTTTAATGTAGCAATAAACAATGCTGTCATTATCTATGAAATGCCATGTAGTTTATAAAATGTTCCTAATCATAAGAGTCTCTTCAATTATGAGAATTCACCAATTAAGAACTGTTCAGACTTCATCTTTCTTCCACCTTGAACTCTCAAAACTGCCCCTGTAGTACACAGTACTGGATATAATATGGAGAAAGCAGATATGTCAAACATGTAATAAATTACAGACCCTTACACCAATGAAAACTAGAACAAACAGATTCCTATCAGACTTCTTAAAGCTTGGGGGATTAAGGGTAAAACTCCACAAAAAGCATTCTTTTCAATGCAAGTGACAACTTAGAATAGAAAAATATGCCACAAGGATAACTATCTTATCATGCGCTGAACTGGGGGAAACGCATAAAACTATGGTTTTAGGAGGAACAGTTATTAGAAAACTTTAACGGAAGATAGAACATGTTATTTCAGACACTGTAAGCTCGAATACAGTGGCTATATAATAAAGCAAGGTGCCTATTCCTGAGGAGGGTTTACTTAGTAATAATGCTAAACAGTGAATATTAAATCTAAGCAGTGCTAAAAAGGCAATGATGGGAGTTCAGGTAATGGGTTACAGAGAAAGGAAATTCCATTACTTAAAAATAATCTTGTCCCTATATTAACCATTCAAATATTTTTTTGCTGATGTGCAAAAGTGCACTGGAAACCTCAGAACAGGTTTTTAAATTGGCCATGTCTCGTTAATACACTGCAGTCTTCAAATTTACACAGAGCTGCAGGTCTCCTGGATTTTTTCTCAAGTGTCACTCATCTAACTCAGCCTGACAGCTTAGAAATGCCATCGGTTGCTCTACAGTCAGTTTAAAAAACATCCTCTACCTGGTATCTCTGCAGTGATTGTCTTGCTGCTCCCTGAAACCTCTTCATCATCATCTGATGAGCTCGTGCTTGAGTCACAAGTCAGGTCACTATCACTGGTACTACTGTCCTGCAATAGGTTATATTTCTTCCGTGCAGCAGCCTCCCTTTTCTGTCTCAGTAGCCTGATTCTCTCCTTGTGCTTTTGGCTCCGATGACCTTTAACCTTGGCGACTCGGCCATTCTGTTTATCACTGGATTGCCGGTTTTTCTTGGCAGCCATAGTAGAGGTTTCACTTTCAGACCGGGACCGTCGAGACTTGCGCCCAACTGTGGCACCAGACACTCCAGAAGGGTCTCCTTCCACTGCTGTTTCTGCCTGGGAGGGTTCATTCTCTTCTGCAGAAGACAAGGTATCTGAATCAGCCAGGTGACCACTAGAGGAAGGGGAAAGCATGCAGTGATTAGAGGAGTCACTCTCATAAACTCGGCCAGTTGTTGGCTTGTCACTCTCTGTGGATGCTAACTGAGACTCAGAAGAGTCCCTTCTCAGTTCCATCAACAAGCAGGGCATTGAAGAAAGAACTGTAGAATCCACTACCCCATCTTTCTGAACTTGAGATTCCAGTTCTACAGATCCATCCTCCTCCTTAGTGGTCTTTTGTTCAGATGGTTTCGGTGGGACTTCAGACTCAATGAGTTCCTCGACTTTTCCCACTGCCTCCTCCATCTTCATTTCAGACTTTCAAGTTCAATCATGGAGCAGAGTCTAAGAAAGTAGGTCAAAGATGCAACAGGAAAGCAACCTGTACAAAAAAACACGACAATCAATAAACAAGAATGATAGATTATTTAATGAACACGACATACCTATCTTTCTAAATGGGTAGCGAAAGTTACCATCATACAAGCCTTTAAAATATATCTGTTTAGGGGCACCTGGGTGGCTCAGTCGGTTGAGCGTCTGACTTCAGCTTAGGTCATGATCTCACGGTTTGCGGGTTTGGGCCCCACACCAGACTCTGTGCTGACAGCTAGCTCAGAGCCTGAAGCCTGCTTCAAATTGTGTCTCCCTCTCTCTCTGGCCCTCCCCTGCTCACGCTGTTCCTCTCTATACCAGAATTAAATAAAAAACATTAAAAAAGTTTTTAATAGATCTGTTTATCTGCCTGATAAATAGTCAAATTCAAAAAACTTAGTATTATCAAAAAACTAGCATACACAACTACTAACAGTGGCACAATACTAATCCTTAATTACTAAACTTGCAAGCCCAGCAAGCAACCAAAGATTTAACTTTAAAGCCTTATTTAAGATGTTCAAAAAAGGGAGCCTCAAAACTCTGATATAGTTAAATATGTACATTCTGACTTTCACATAAAAGAAAAAGAATGCTTCCCCAAAAAATCTGGAAATGAGATTTTTGAAAAATCTCAGAAACAAGTTAACTAGAATAATTACTTTTATATTCAAATCAACAAAGAGAAGAAGCTACAGTGGAGTAACATCAAATGTACACTTGTGTTTAAAAAAACCTTCAACCACATGCATTTGGGCAAATGAGAACCCAAAGTAACTATGCATCAAACCTATTTGCTATTTCTCTCAGGAAGAACTGCTCTAGAGGAGTATTAAGTTGCCAGACCTGGAGTGCCTGGGTGGCTAAGTCAGTTTAGTGTCCAACTCTTGATTTCAGCTCAGGTCATGATTTCACGGTTTATGGAACTGAGCCCTGGATCAGGCTCCATGGTGGAAGTGTGGATTCTCTCTCTCTGCCCCCCTCCCCAGTTCTTGTGCACACTCTCTCTTCCTCTCTCTCAAAATACATAAATAAACTTAAAAAAAAAAAAAAAAAGATGTCAGGCCTGACGATACTGTTTCCTCATAGTCCTTCCTAGTTCCCACCTACTCTCCTCAGGCTGAATGTGAGCCTAGTGTTTCAAATGTTTTGTTTCATAAGCAACAGCCACTAAATACAGAGCAACTACTCTGTGAACCTAGTACACTCTAGTCTATGAATAACTTAAGGGGTTTAAGAGAAAACATCCTACATACATTTCCTACCTTATATGCTAACTTTAGAGCCTAACACTCTTCCCCCACTGAATGTACTACAACTCTTCTTAATCATGGAGAAACAGGACATAGTCCTTAACCACAAGAGTGGTGATCTATACAGACTTCATTAACTGGTGCTTTGGTTTTAAAAGGATGATGCTAGGGGCGCCTGGGTGGCTCAGTGGTTGGGCATCCAACTTCAGCTCAGGTCATGATCTCACAGCTCATGGGTTTGAGCCCCGCATCAGGGTCTGTGCTGACAGCTCGGAGCCTTTCAGCCTGCTTCAGATTCTATGTCTCTTCGCTCTCTGCCCCACCCCCGCTCATGCTCTGTGTGTCTCTCTCTCTAAAAAATAAACATTAAAAAAAGTTTTTAAAAAATAATAAATAAATAAAGGGTAAGGCTAAGAATGTGCAAGGCAAGTAAATACCTCACTCTGTACATGAGATGCCATAGAAAGCAGTTATCATGATGTCCCACTGGTAACAGACAAACACAAACACGAAGTGAGACGGTGTGCTCATCAGGAGCTGCAGACAGCTTTACTGTTCACTCTATCAAGTTGCTTGACAGTTCAATATATGGTAGACAGCAACTAGAAGATACTTGGAAAATCTTTTTTTTTTTATCTAACATGCCAAGGCTACTTTCTGCTTACCATAAACATGAATAATCTATACTACTATTCTTTGTTTTTTATGGCCTTATTCTCAGCTGCTGATAACACAGACATTCTGATGAAGATTCCTCAACATATTCATGAAAACCAGAACATTCATGGCCAATAGGAACATTAATGTAAAACAATCTCATATGTAGCCTATTTTATAAGTATATTTGCATTGTCACTCATTTTTAAGTTAAATAAAAATACAAGCATAAATATTATTCCTAACACCATTCCAAAAGGAATGTAACACCTCTGAAAGCCAACAGAGGGAGTAAAAGTTAAACCAGAAAACTGCCAGTGTCATAACTAAAGCATGCTGGCAATATAAACAGGAAATAAAATATTCACACATATGAAAAACCCCATAGATGAGGAATAAACGAAGGTTTTTCTAGCGGAATAAAAACAAGAGCTGAGTATTCTGCAGAGAATGAAGTTAATATTTCTGTAATAAAACTTTTTCTCACAGCTGAAATATTTGAGAAATATACTCAAAATGAAATTAATGTAGCCATAAAGCACAAGAATCAAACGTCTCAAATTAATTTTTGAAAGCAGAAGGTACTGGACCTTTTCAAAGTATATAACATCAGGCTAAAAAGTAAATGTGTTAACATGACCATAAAAATCTTGTTTCTTCAGTAAATGAATTGTGTGGGTAAGACAAATAAATCTAAACTGCTTTTCTTTTAGGAAAATGTAACATGAGTATTTTTAATATGACAAATCAATCAAATGATTATTATTCATTTCAAGATGGTTATATCTAAGAATTAATTGAAATTTACAATACATCAGTCAGAAGAGCTAAAATTAACAACTCAGGCAACAACAGATGTTGGCGAGTATGCAAAGAAAGAGGATCTCTTCTGCACTGTGGGGAGAATGGAAACTGGTGCAGCCACTCTGGACAACAGTATGGAGGGTCCTCAAAAATTTAAAAATAGAACTACCTTATGACCTAGCAATTGCACTACTAGGTATATATCCAAGGGATACAGGTGTGCTGTTTCCAAGGGGCACATGCACCTCAATGTTTATAGCAGTGTTATTGACAATAGCTAAAGTATGGAAAGAACCCAAATGTCCATCAATGGATGAATGGATGAAGAAGATGTGGTACACACACACACACACACACACACAACAGTGGAGTATTACACAGCAATCAAAATGAATAAAATCTTGCCATTTGCAACAACATGGATGGAACTAGAGGGTATTATGCTAAGCGAAATAAGTCAGAGAAAAACAAATATCCTATGACTTCACTCATATGTGGAATTTAAGATACAAAACAGATGAACATAAGGGAAAGGAAGCAAAAATAATATAAAAACAGGGAGGGGGACAAGAGACTCTTAAATACAGAGAACAAACTGAGGGTTGCTGGAGGGGCTGTGGGTGGGAGGACGGGCTAAATGGGTAAGAGGCATTAAGGGAGACACCTTTTTGGGATGAGCACTGGGTGTTATGCATAGGGGATGAATCACTGGAATCTACTCCTGAAAACTATATGCACTTATTGCACTATATGCTAACTAACTTGAGAGGAGAGGGGAGGGGAGGGGAGGGGAGGGGAGGGGAGGAGAGGAGAGGAGAGGAAGAAAGAAAGAAAGAAGGAGAGAGGGAGAGTGAGAGAAAGGAAGAGAAAGGAAGAAAAAGAAATTAACAATAACTTTTACTGCCAAAAAAGCGATTTTAATCACAAACACTAGTATCATTAATAGGACATCAGTTAGCTCATAGTGGTATGTCCATACAATGTGGCCATGAAGGATGAAAAAGGTTCTTTAATACATTAATATGAAGAAATTTTCAATACATAATGTCAAAAGAACAAAAAAGGTACATTATACCAAAAGTGTAAACAAAAAAATTATATTCATATGTGAGTTTGCCTGTAAATGTACAGAATCACTGGGAAGATACTTAAGAAAACAGTAACAGTAGCTACTCTGGCAAGGAAGGAAAGCAAATGAGGGGAACAGGAATCAAAAGACCTTTCCACTGTACACAGTCTTTACACCTTGAATTTACTATCATGTACAAGTTATTACCTATTCAAAAATCCACTCTACCATAAAAGTCTACTGAAAAGTGTTCTGAAGAAAACAGGACTTGGCATTTTCTGCTCATGACACTGACTACTTAATGTTCCAGTCAAATTTAGTCAGTGAAGTGTAATAGTTGCCCCCTGTACTAGAATTTTGTTATAACTCATAAAACACAATGAAAAAAGTCACAAAGTGAAAATAGAAGTTCTGACAAAACTCTCTGCAGAATAAAAATGAAGTACCCTAAATATAGGGGGATAAGATGTCGTATGTATAGAAAACAGTAATCTTCCTGAAGAACCAGAGTACTTACTGCATATTGGTTTTGGTCAGGGAAAATATGTATATTTTCTTTTTAGAGGTAAGCAAAAGAAGCTGGAAGCAAAAATATAAAACTGTCAAATGATACCTGCATCTCATAAATGGGATAAAAGGCTCTCAACCACCTGCTTTAATATTTGATGAATTCACAATGAAGTATTAAATAAACAACATATAGCACTTATTTAGTAATTTTTATTTATTTCCTACCATGCTGTTCTAATCTCCACTCTACAGTTGGTCCCCTTCAACCTGGATATTACAGTTAATCCCACCTCATCTCTCTAGAGCCCTTGCTGATTATTCTTCAGCATTCACTATCCTCTCAGCTCAAATGGACTGTCCATCCATCCATCCATTCATTCATTCATTCATTCACTCATTCATTTGAAAAAATCCTCCTCCTACTTACCACCTCAACCTCACATCTCCTCCTCCAAATACCATTCTCTTCTTTCACAGCCAACCTCATTAAGAGTTGTCTAAACTCCTTCCATTTCTTTACTTCTCATACTCCTCCAACCCAATCTCATCTGACATCTGCTTTTATCACATCTGAAGAACAGTTCTTATTAGGGTCATTAATGACCCCCATACCTCTAAATCCAACAAACATAGTTTGGCCCTCATCTTAATGTCTAAGCAGTATTCTACACTTATCCACTCCCTCTCCCCCTTAAACTAATATTTTTCTTTGGC